ACAACAATGAGAAACGTGCTTCAGTTTGAAATGTGATTATCGCTATTCATTTATCTGTGTAACTCCATATGTGTATTCAGACTTTATAAGGTACCTACTGAACAAACATTAAATAAGCTCCAAGGTGCATGGCACTCTGACAGGATTACCTGGGATGTTAACCAGCTATCCAAAGTACAGCGTGAAATCGCTGATTCTCGTATTGACGTGTTAATCAGTCAAGAGTAATCTACTCAGCAAAACCGAGCATCATCCTCAAAGACACGGCATTTACTGAAACAGAGGACTTTGAAGCATTCCTGACGAAAAGAGCAGAGCCCAATAGAAAATCTCACAATAAAACACAAGACTCAAGAGAAGCACAGAAGAGTAAACAGGAAAAAGAAATCATAAGGGACTTAAAGTTTTATTTTGACAAGGTAGTTGAGGTTAAGTGACTTGCCCAGGGTCACACAGCTAGTGTCAAGTGTCTGAGGGTGGATTTGAACTCAGGTCCTCTTGACTCCAGGACTGGTACACTAATCTGCTGTGCCACCTCACTGTCCCTGGGAATTAATAAGTTAAACTGTTATTGTGAGAAGACACATGCAATGTCTAAGAACTTTATTATTAAGGCAGTTGGAAGGAATCTACATAAACAGAAGGCAAGGATATGAGTTGATAATGTGGGGAAGATCTCAAAAAAAATAGGGGGTGAAAAGAAGGAACGCATTAGGAGAAGAAGGAAGGAAGCAGGAAAATAGGGAAAAGTGTCTCACATAAAAGAGGTGCAAAAGGAAGTATTCTTACATTGGAGGGAAAAACAGGTAGGCAAAGCTTGAACCTCACTCTCATCTGGTTCAAAGAAGAAAGAATAAAGAATACAAACAAACTCAGTGAGGTAAAGAAATCTATCTCACCCAGTGAGGAAGTAGGAAAGGAAGAGGATAAGAGAAAAGACTGGAGGTGATAAGAGGAAGTGCTGATTAAAGCAGGCATAGTCAGAAGCAAAACAAAAAAAAAAGGCTTTTAAAAAAGGAGAGAGGGTTAAACTGAAGAAAACAGGACAGAGGGAAATACACAGTTAGTAATCATAACCGTGAATCTGAGTGGAATGAATTCACATATAGCGTCAAGGGGGGAAACAGAATGGATTAGAAACCAGAACTTATTATGTTGCTTACAAGAAACACACCTGAAAGTGAAAGATACACAGTTAAAATGAGGGGCTGTGGCAGAAACTATTATGTTACAGCAGAAGTTAAAAAAAAAAAGCAGGAGTAGAAATCATAATCTCAGACAAAGGAAAGCAAAAATAGATCTAATTAAAAGAGATAAGCAGGGACTCTATATCTTGCTAAAAGGCAGTTTAGATAATAAATAATATCAATACTAAATATATATGAATCAAATGGCATAGCATTCAAATTTCTTAAAGGAAAAAAATTAGTTACAGTAGGAAAGAGACATTAAAATCCTGCTAGTAGGGGACCTCAACTTTCCTCTCTCAGAAACAGATAAATGTAACCATAAAACACATAAGAAGTTAAGAAGACAAATGAAATTTTTAAAAAACTCAGCTATGGTAGAGAAAATTGGATTTCTAAAGAAAAATGAATGAGAACAGAAAGGAATACACCTTTTCCTCAGCTGCACATGACATTTTCACATAAATTCACCATGTATTAGGGCATAAAAACTACACAAACACAGAGAAGCAGAAATATTAAACACAACTTTTCATTACAGAAGGCAATGAAAATCATACTAAAGTAGGGCCTTTGAGACAGACTGAAAATTAACTGAAAACTAAATAAAAATTAGTTTAAAACTAAAGAATGTGGAGGTCAACGAACAAATCAGAGCAACAATCAATAATTTCATTAGAGGTAACAAAAACAACGAGACAACATACCAAAATCTGCAGGATGCAACCAAAGTAGTATTCATATCAATAGCTGCAGAAAAAGGCTGTGACAAAATACAACACCCATTTCTACTAAAAAACACCATAAGGCACAGGAATAAGTGGATCTTTTCTTTAAATAATTAGTATATATCCAAAACCAAGAGAAAGCATTATCTGTGACAGGAATAAACTAGAAGCTTTCCCCAAACGACCAGGGTGAAGCAAGGATGAGTACTGTAGGCACTTTTGTTCAACATTATACTGGAAAAGACAGCTGTAGTAATTATACAAGAAGAAAGCAACTGAAGGAAGAAGGCAACAAAGAAATAAAACCGTCACCCGTTGTGGGCGGTATGAAGTTTACTTCAAAGAATCACAGAGAACCAAATAAAAGGCTGGTTGAAACAATGCAGAGCATTACCAACCGTGCAGGACAGAAAACAAACCCACACAAATTTTCAGCATTTCTATATGCTGATACAGCAATACGTCTATCAAAACTCAACAAAGCCCAGCAGCAAGAGAAAGAGAAATGCCATTTAAAATAACTGCAGACAATATAAAATACTTAGGATTCTATCTGCCCAGATACAACCAGGAATTACAAGAACATAATTACAAAACACTGTTCACACAAAGCCAGATCTAATTAGGTGGAAAAATATTAATTGCTCATGGGTAAACTGAGCCAATAATATAATACAATGACAATTCTACCCAAATTAATTTGCATATTCAATACCATACCAATCAAACTATCCAAGAAAATTGGGGGGAGGGGCGCTAGGCAATGGGGTTAAGTGACTTGCCCAGGGTCACACAGCTGGTAAATGGGTTTTTTTATGTATCTGAGGCCAAATTTGAACTCAGGTTCTCCTGAACCCAGGGCTATCCATTTCACCACCTAGCTGCCTCTAAAGAAATTTTTTATAGAACCAGAAAAAAAATAAAATTTGTAAGGAAGAAAAAAAGGTCAAGAATTTTTTTTGCTTTTTTTTAAGGCAGCTGGGGTTAAGTGACTTGCCCAGGGTCACCCAGCTAGTAAGTGAAAGGTCAAGAATATTAAGGAAATCGATAAAAAAAAAATTTTAAAGGGTGACTGCCTAGCAGTACAAGATTTCTAACTATACTAGAAGGAGTCATCATCAAAAGAATCTGGTGGGGTAGCTAGGTGGCACAGTGGATAGAGCACTGGCCCAGTGGATAGAGCACTGGCCCTGAAGTCTGGAGGACCTGAGTTCAAATCCGGCCTCAGAGCAAACACTTGACACTTACTAGCTGTGTGACCCTGGGCAAGTCACTTAACCCAATTGCCCCCCCCAAAAAAAATCTGGTAAGAGTTAAGAAATAGAGTGCTTGATCAATGGCATAAATTAGGTAGACAATAAAAAGAAACAAATGACCATAGTAATCTACTGCTTGATAAATCCAAAGATCCAAGCTTTGGGGGCAAGAATTCCCTATCTGACAAAAACTGGAAAGCTGTCAGGCAGAAACTAAGCAAAGAGAAACATCTCATAACATATATCAAGATAAGGTAAAGTTGGGTAGATGATCTAGACATAAATAATGACATCATAAGAGAAGTAGAGAGGAGCATGGAATAGTTTACCTGTCAGATATGGGAAGAATTCATGACCAAACAAGAAAAAGAAAGCATCACAGGAGGTAACAGGAATAATTTTGAGTACGAGGAATGTAAAAGTTTTTATAAAAACAAAAACAACGCGGCTAAAATAAGAAGGCAATCAGGAAAATGGTAAGAATTTTTACAGCAAACTTGTCTAATAAAGGCCTCATTTCACAAATACAGAAGCAACAGAGACAAATTTATAAAAAGAAGCGCCATTTTCTAATTCAAAAATGGTCAAATGATCTGAACAGGCATTTTTCAGAAGGAGAAATCAAAGCTATCAAGAGTCATATGAAAAATATGCCCTAAATCACTAATAATTAAAGAAATGCAAATTAAAACACTTCAGGCCTATCGGATTGGCTAACATGACAGAAATAATAAATGATAAATGCTGGGAGGGACGTGGAAAAAGATGGAAACTAATGCACTGCTGGTGGCGTGGCCAACTGCCTCAAGCACTCCTGAGAACAATTTGGAACTAAGGGCCACAGAGCTATAAAACTGTGCATATCCTTAGACCTAGCAATACCACTGTCATGTCTGCATCCCAAAGACATGAAAGAAAAAAGAAAGACTCAGTTTACCATGACCAATTAATACGTTTCCACCTAGTTAGGCCTGGCTTTGTGTGAACAGTGTTTTGTAACTGTGTTCTTATAATTCCTGATTGTATCTGGGTAGATAGACTCCTAAGTATTTTATACTGTCTGCAATTATTTTAAATGCAATTTCTCTTTCTCTTGCTTCTGAGTTTTGTTGAATTTTGATATACATATTGATATATCAGCATATATAACTGTACAAAAACATACCCGTTTTTTTCTGTTTCTTTTTAAGGATCAGAAATTGAGTGGATGCACATCACTTAGGGAACGGCTGAATAAAATGTGGTCTAAGATTCTGGCGGAATATTATTGTGCACTAAGAAATGATGAAGAGGGTGAGTTCAGAAAAGTCTCTAGGAAGACTTCTATGAAGTGAGCTGAACTAGGAGAATTCTGTGCACAGTAACTGCAATAGTCAGGTTGATCAACTGTGAACATAGCTACTCTGATCAATACAATGATCCATGAAACTTCTACACGCTCATGATGAAAAATGAAGTGAACTGCAGATCAAAGCTAACTTTTTCAAACTTTATTTTATTTTTTTTTCAACATGGCTAATACTGAAGTGTTTTGCACGATGTCATATGCACAATCGGTATCATACTGTTTAATTTCATGTGAGGGGAAGGAGTTGGATGGAAGGAAAAAATCTGGAAATCAAAACTTAAAAATGATTGTTAAAAAAAAGGTAAATCTAATTTGTTTTATGGGGGGAGGATAAATAGAAGACCTATATGGTATCTTTACGCTCTAAACACAGAATTCCTTCATGCCCACAATTCCTAGTGCTACAGCACAGAACAAAGAAACCTATCCCATGGTCTCTGGCCTGAGATGCTATTTCAGGAAAGCAGCAAGTGGCACTCACCTTCCCAGGCCTGGCTGTCAGGGCAGAAGCCATTCTCTCCTCCTCCAGGCTGTCCTCCTGGGGCAGAGCAGAGGCCACAGAAGGGAGAGCTGGGGAGCAAAGGAGAAGCAGGACAGTGAGGAGTCACGCTGGGGGTCTGCCCTGCTCACACCAGACATTCCCATTTCTCCACTGCGGGATCAGGGAGGGGGGCAGAGGCTGGGGGTGGGTGGGTGGGAGGGGCCCAGAAGGAAGCAGTCATTTCTCTCCTGGGGGGGGCTGTCTTGGGGCCAGCACCTCCTGACCCTTTCAGCAGGGCAGGGCACGGTCACCAGGGGCATCGCAGCCTCCCTCCAGGGACACAGAAGCACCAGGACTTCATGCCCCAGGGCTCTGCACATGGAAGGGCCGAGGCCTGGAGGGGCAGGGCCTGTCGGAGGCGGCTCTGGCTCCAGCCCCCAGCCCCGGGGCAGAGTGCGGGCCCGAACGCTGCAGACACAATCTCAGCGCCCGCTAGCCGGGTGACCCTGGCCAAGTCACTGAACCCTGTGGGCCTCGGTCTCCTCATCTGCCAAATGGGCTGAAGGAAAGGGCAAACCATCGTTGCCAAGGAAACCCCAACCGGGGTCACGGAGAGTGGGCAGACACGGGACAACCCCCGCCCACGGCCTCGCCCCCACGCCCCTAGGGGCTTCGCCCTCTGGTGGGAGCCCCCCCCAGATCCCAGGGCTCCGGCCCCGCAGCCCGCCTCCGCCTAGGCCAGGCCCTGCTTTCCGTGGCCACTCACCCCGTTTTCGGTCAACTCGGTGTAGAGAAGGGAAACAGACACCCCCCAAACATGAAAAAAGGGGTGAGGGGGCACGGCGGAAATGACGTCAAAGGCACCGCCCAACCTCCCTCCTCTGAACTTGCAAGATGCACGCGGGTGAGCAAGCCCTTCTGGGAATCGTAGTCTCGAGGCTGCCGCACTTTCTGCGCATGTCTGGGGCTCGGCTCCTCCCTGGCCGCCGATGCACGCGCCATCGCGCCCGCCTTTCGTGGCGTCCCCTTGACCTGGGCCAGCCTGTGTCACACACACGGGGAGGGGTGCTGCGTTTGCTGAAGGCTGCCCAGGCCGGCCTGACCCCACGCGAGTGTCTGCAGAGGCGGAGTGCCAAAAAGCAGAAGGAGGGAGAGGCCCATGTGGAGGCTTTTGTGCAGAGGCAGCGGGGGCCCGGCATCCTCATCAGGAGCCAGACGAGCAGCCTGGTCAGAGCCGCGCGAGAGCCACCGTGGCAGCCCGGGGAGGACGGACTGCGGGGTGGCCCGGGAGCAGATTGCGGCAGCACCGCCTGTCCGGAGATCTGAGCCGCCCAACGGAGCTGGCGGCCTTGGAGAGGGCGGCAGGGAGGGACGGCTTTGCCCCGGGAGGAGCCACCAGACTGGCCAGCTGAGGGGAAGGTGGACAGTGAAAATGGGCTGCAAAAGAGGGCAATGGAAGAGCACTGAGGACCAGCCCTGGTCCTGCACGTGCCCTGCGCAGGTTAGGAGGCCAGCTGATTCTCTGGAATGAGATCCTTCACAGGAACTCAGCCCACGGAGACAGGAGGGTCCAAAATGAAATCATAAGGACACCAAGGACAACAGTTTTTTGAGGAAGAAAACAGTTGTCTGATGGACGCACAGACAGCTTGTTCACCAACCCAGGCGTGTCTTCATGGGCAAGACTGCCCAGGTTCCACCTCTTGATTTCTCCTGGAGTTGCAGACATAGCTCAGGGAGGAAGAGTAAATGCTTCAAGGACATCTTTTGGGGGCAGCTAGGTGGTGCAGTGGATGGAGCATCGGCCCTGAAGTCAGGAGGAACTGAGTTCAAATCGGGCCTCAGACAAAACACTTGACACTTACTAGCAAGTCACTTAACCCCAATTGCCTAAAAGCAAAAAAAAGCACTGACCCTTTCTTAGGACCCACTGGAGCACCAGACCTCACAAGTCTCTGACATGACTACTCCAAGTCCTTACCTAAAGATACAGAAATGCAGGAGGGAAATACCTCAGCTTCCAGCAAAAGCTGTTCCTGATTGGAACTACAATTGAACTGTAAAGCAAAGACCATTTATAGCTGTTGTTTGGGGGGTACAGCAATATCCAGAAACCACTTTGGACATATGAAGTTTCAGTCTTGAAAAAGAAAACAAAACAAAATGAAAACCCTCCCATCTCAAAACTAATAAAACACATATGTCCTCCCTTTCTGTTTCTTTGGATGGGGCTCAGGAGAACCCTTAAATATGAAGCTTCTGGCCAAGTCCAGGGTTAGGTGTCCAAATTTTCCCCTTTTTCCTTCTCCAGGGAGTTCCAGTTATTGACAGCAAACACTTGCTTAGAATTTGACAGAATTAGCTTATTTTTTTTTCTCCATCCAAAACGCATTGTAAAAGTGCAGACAGTAAATACACCTAGGGTAAAAGTAATGTCACTTCACCAAGCAGGATGAAGGGGAGAAGGAAGTGAAGTTAAAATGAATTCACTCAGCTCCCAAAAGTAGCAGAACATCAACATTCAGTCTGACACACTATGCCCTAAATGGGTCCATAACTTGCACGAGCCTCCCACTCTGGATCACGTTCAGTTTTGGATAGCAGCGCCCTTCATTTGCTATCAGTTCTCCAAACAGCTCCCAAGCTCCTACACCCTTTACCCACTGCAGCTTCCAGCTCCCACCATCCTTTGGCCTCTCCTTCTATCTGGGAAAACTATACTTGTTAATAGTCGACTTACTAATAAGGGACTACACATTCTCCAGTCCCTCCCAACCACCATTAAAACAAATTCACGAAGTGATATTTATCTGCTTCTATTCGGCAGCAAAAGTCTGCACAGATGACATATTTGATGATGGCTACTTGGAAGGGCCAACTCAATCTCTTGCTTTCTCTCCCCCTGACCACTCCAGGGATGCTTACTACTGATGCTCAAGTCCTTTCTGTCTTCCCACCAATTTTCGTTCCCCCTCCACAACTCCCTCTTGTGTGGGTGGAGAGCTTGGTCTGTGGTAGCAGGGGATGGGAAGGAAGTGCAAAGGCCCAAGGCTTCTCCTTCATCTGGTCCACCATTATCATTCCTTTGAATTTATCCTTCTTATTTGTAATTGTTTTCTTTATGTTTATTCTGTATATTATGGTGGTCAACACATTCCACCTAAAGAGGTTCGGACATGCTCTAAACCCTAATTATAGAGTTTTTAAATTTAAAATTACACATTGGAAAGATATTAGGAGACACTCTGGTTTCCAGAGCTAAGGTCCAGCAAGCAAGCTGTGCCTCGAGCTTGGCAAAACAAGAATCCTTTCTGCTTGCCCTCTGGCAAAATGCCATAATTATTATATTGCTTGGACAGCACTTCTCTGAGCTCAGAGAAGCTCAGGAAAAGCTTGGACAAAACCCATGTTCCAGTCATAAAGCCCGATATGAATCAAACTTGTATCATTGTGGCTGTTACCCCTCATTGTCAGGGCTACAGCTCACTGTGCAGCTATTGGCATAAATATTGAGATCTCCCCCCACTGCCTCGAGTCCCCCTACTAGGGGCAGGGCACCAACACATGTGTCTCATTCTCTCTCTCTTTTTAAGCCATTTCACTCACTTTGAAATTGAACTTTCGTTTGATTCCTGACTCCCTTGCATTTAGCCTGCTCTGTTCAGCATATAGCCACTCCGAGGTTAGAAGCCTGTTAGGTACAGCTGACACTTTTATTTTAGCAATTATTTTTCCTTCTCTCTCAGTGAACAAAAAAGACAAGAAAAATAAAACTTTCATATCATATATTGTCCAAAAAAAAAATTTCCACATTGGTCACATCCAAAAATCTAAATCTTATTCTGTATTTTAAATCCACCACCCCTGCAGAAAGAGATGAGTACCAATCTTATTAGTCCTCTTGAATCACAGTTTGGCTAGGACAGTAATTTATAAAAAGGTGTCCAACTCTGAGTGTAGGTAACCTCCACACAGGTGCAGACCAAAACAGACATACAGGCAGTCTTTCCTCTTTCCAACACATTCTGTATACAATGAACAATCTGATATTCCTAAATCATAGATCAGACCATACCATTCTGTCCCAAGGATTCAGCAGTTTTCTTACAGACTCTGGGATAAAATATGAACCCCTTTGTTAAAGCCTACCAGGGATCTACAAGCTGATTTTTTTGGGATCTGTAAGGATTGTTAACCTGAAAGTTTGGTTAAAGAAGGCAAACAAGTTAGGTGATACATGATTATATAGTTTATTCCCTTTTAGCTAGCGAATCATGTTAACATGGGAGCCAGATGTGATTCTGACTCGGAGATTAAGCAAAATGAGAGGGGTTTTATACAGTTTAGAGTGATCAGACTCAGGATGTCTGTGTTACAAAACATACAGCCTCCATATGTTTGTTTAACATATAGCATGGGAAAGGAATTTTCTTAGTTGAATAAGGTTGTAAATACAATAAAACAGAAGAATGTCAAAGTGTCAATAGAAACTCGAGATAAGAAAAGTCCCATTATTCAAGAGAGTATCTGCTCCCAGACATCCTGGGGTTAGTTGATCAGTTCTATCTGTTCCTGGAATTTGCTGACACAGGAAGGGGTGTTTTTACTTCACTCAGAGAGAAAAAGATTAATTCAGGCTTTTTGGCCCTTATTGGGGCTCAGTTGATCTTAAATGATTATCAGGAGGTAGAGGGCCACAGGCTGTTCATGAGGTCTCACTGATGGGCGGAGGCCCCCCTCCGGTGCTGATCTTTGAGCAAAGGTCACCTGGTTCAGTGCTCCATTGTATGGATCTGTAACAATCTTTAACTCCCCTAGTTATTGTATGGCCATTAGCAGTCTGTTCTGGGATTGGAGTCAGATAAGTGCACAGGACGTGCGTGCACTGTCCTCGTGTAATGCAGAACATTATTTTACCATTTAGGTAGTAGAACCCTTTAGGCCGTGGAAAACTCCAAATTCCTTAGCAAGATCCTTATCTGGCTGCTCAGGCCACAGCCCTCAGATCATATCTCTGGAAGCCTCCATTGTTAGAAAGTTTGCAGAGCATTATCATATCTACACAGAGGAGAAGGGTGTCCTTGACCAGCCCCCCCAAAAAAACTCTTCCTCTTGCCAGACTTCAAAGATCCATCCCCTCCCTGTCCTGTATACTCCCTATATAAACCCTAACTCGACCCCTGATGGGTGCTGCTTGATTTGGATGTGAATATCCCTGGCAGCCGCGCGCTAATAAAGTCCACAATTTAAAATTAGCTTGGGTGGTCAACTCGCTCATTTCTCGGTATAACATTTTGGAGGCGCCAGCGAGATAGCAGCGTACCGTGTCGCTGCAGAGACCCACCTGGAGAGGACATCGGCCTCGGGAGGGGGAATTGTTCTGTTCTGACTTCTAGGGGAGCCGGCCCCTGATGATGTTCCAGGGCCCCAGGACTCAGGACTAGGAGAAGCCTCCCTCCCCGACTCCGACTGTACCTCATTTCGGCCCTCGTGGACCTGGTAACCCTCTGGAGGTAAATGTTTGCAAACCTGTTTTCTGGTGGGGAACGAGTGCCAGACGTGGCAGAGCACCTAATTAGTGCCTCAATCCCCCGGGCACCCCGAGACGTTGGGACTATGCCCGTATCTGGTTCCTGGTACCCGGTTTCTGGTTCCTGGTTTCTGTCTTAGTTCTGTTGGGCCCGTGTCTCGTTCCTGGTTTCTGTCTCAGTGTTGGTCTATTAGTTTATATGTGTAGAGATTGTGTTTTTAAGAGATTCTGTTTTGCAATCATCTGCCTGAAGCCACCTCTGTTTCATACTGAAAGACAGGTGTCAGACTGGATTGCAGACAGTTTTCTCCAGACTTCCATTGGGAGGATGTGTTTGTGTTCAGGCTCTTATTGTTTGTCTGTGTCTGTGTTCTGCAATAATGGGGGGATACGGCCAGTACATCATTTCCCTCCCTTTTGGGTTGTTTGCAGCCAGACAGCCAAAG